ATCATGATTTTCTTTTGTGAAAAAGGAAAATCAAGTATTATCAAATATGTCATTTAAACTATTAAAATGAGAAATGCTTTATCATATTTTTATTCCTAAATCATATATATTGATAACGTTGGAGAAAAGAAGATGCCTCCACCAACCTCCCACCTCCCAGATATTCTTAGGAGAAGAAAAAATTTTGAATTTATTTCCTCTAAATCCTTTGTCTTTTCTTTGGTCCAACGGCCAATTCTAAGTGAGTTCATAGAAGTCAACTTGAATATAACTTAACCAGTAACATGTCGATGTAGTCTTGCTACTTGCTAGACTGTTCAATAAAAAAAAAGATTTTTAAAGAGAGAGATTTATTATAATATTGTGAAGAGGGCAAAGGGCATTGGGTGAAGTTTGGGGTCCATATATAAAATTATGCCATCTTTTTTGTGTCATTGGAGTTGTGTTGCTTTCACACCACACTTTGTTATGCCTCTCTCTCACTACAAAGTTGGTGTTTAGAAAGGGAAAGGGCCAATGGGGATTCAAAGATATTAATCAAAAAGCATAATATTTTTGGAGATGAAAATGAGAAATGCTATGATTTGGATTTGGGATTTGGATTTTGGGTTTGTGTGGAGGAGGCTTTTGGCTCACATTCTGACACCAACATCTATTATTACATCCACACATAATTAAACACTATATTCCTTTCCTAAGTATATTCCCCAATGAGATTGACCAAGATTTTGATAAACCCACCAACTCAATAATGCTAATTCCTTTGGTTTTTTTCTCACTTGTTCCAAATTATATCTTTGAAATAAGATTTTTCTCAATCAAAAGAGAGAGAAGACCTGTTTGTGAGTTCACAATCTATATATTTAAATGTAGGCTAAGTTACAAAAAATACCCCTGAACCTCTATTCTTTCAAATGTTTCAACGCTATTCTTGACCTTTCATAAAGTTTCAAAAATATCATTTGAACAAATATTCGTCAACATTTTGAACAAAAAGTTGACGTGGTAGAATTTAAAAAGTCATTCATCCATTGTCAAGAGAGTTTACTTCTTCATTGTCTACCCAATTTTGTCCTAATTCTCCTCCACATTTCCTCTCTTTCAGACATAATCCAAACATTTGACACATAATTCTAAATTCTGCAATGTCAACTTTCCATTCAATATTTTTTTGGATGTTTGCTCAAATAGTATTTTTGAAACATTTATCAAAGGTCAAAGATAGTATTGAAACTTTTGAAATGATAGGCAAGAAAGGACACATT